AGAGACCCTGTCTTAAAATAATAAAATAATAAAATGGTAAAATATGGTAGAAGAAAAGAACTGATGCCACAGAGGTGCCCTTTGACCTCCAACAGTGAGCACTGAGGGGGGTCAGTCAGCAGTGAGCACTGAGTGGGGGTCAGTCAGCAGTGAGCACTGAGGGGGGGTCAGTCAGCAGTGAGCACTGAGTTTGGAAGAGGAGTAAAAGTGACAGCAGCTCATGGGGGTTGTGGTCTCTGGCTTCAGGTAGCAGATTTCCTGAAGCTGACAGGCCTGTGGCTCACTTGTGGAGGTAGCTTTAGTCGTGCCTCCGTCTCCAGCTTAGACACTAGCAGTAGGAGCCAGGCTCCAGAGGCTTGATGGTCACTTGTCTCTTAGTCTCTTAATAGTAATAATAATAAAATTATTATTATTCCTGGGAAGCAAGATGGCTTCATGCAAAAAGGGCCCTACCTGCCACCAACTCTGACAGCCCATGTTCAGCCATGTTACACGCAGTGGAAGAAGAAAGCCTATTCCCAGAAGTTGTCTGACCTCCACACATGCTGTGTCTGGTGCATATAATGAACAGCTCTGAGCTAACCCTCCGACCCGCTTTTCCTTTTGTTGTTTAAAATATTTCATTTCAAGGAGAAACCTTGTAGGTCGTCTGCAGGCCTCCCCTGGGTTTCTCCGCTGGCTTTCTTCCTCAGTGAGGCCCTTCCTGAGTCAGGTGGGTGCTGCTGACCACACCCCGCTCCTGGGTGCTGTCCTGCAGGCACTTGCACCAGAGTCGCCCCAGGGTTCCCTTTGGGACTGAGCTCTGAGCCCTCGATCCACAGGGAGCTTTGATGTGCTGCCCGTCCAGCCTTCCCGGGTCTGTCCTAGAGCACCTTCCATCGGAGCTCCTGAATTAAAGAAAGACACATCAGGAAGCTTCAGTCACAGATAAGACGGTTCTTACTAGAACCTAGCTCCTCCCTGAGCGGTTCTCTCCCTTCAGTCCAAGGTTGGCAGCTACTTGGCGTTGGCAGTGTTTAGGTTGACCTCTTGCAGGGTTTTCTTCGGCCTTCACTTTAGGGTCACAAGATAACTGCAGTCGCTCCAGGTTTCAGGTCCCCACCTGATGCGCAACAACTGTAGCGTTTGTGTTTGTCCAGTCGGTCAGTCTCTATTGTGAGGACTCTTCCCACAGTCCCCAGAGGTCCTTCTCGGAGCCGTTGACCTGAAACGGCCCCGTGCAGCGCCCTAACCCACGCTTGCTGCACGGCCTGCTCAGGTGTGCCTTCCCCAGTTGAGCCACAGGCATGGTGGCATCTGTGCCTACCAGCCACCTACTGTGAGGGAAACCACTTTGAGAGCTGACCCACCTAAGTACTAAAGCAGGGCTTCTTGTGGGAAGAGGTCTGCGTGCCCTTCCTGCTACCTCTTCCTGCTGGTGCTTTGCCTAGTGTCCACATGGGAGAGGCTGGCCCAGCCTTTTCAAACATAGGGATTTGAGCTTTTTTTTTTCTTTCTTTCATATGGGCACAGAACACCCTCAAGGAAAAAGAGACACCCGGCCCCTTTTATAAAGATTTGTAAGCTAGATATGGTGGTGCAGCCTTTGATCCCAGCTCTGAGCGGCAGAGGCAGAGGGATCTCTGGGAGTTCAAGGCCAGCCTGATTGACATAACAAGTTTCAAGACAGCCAGGACTACATAGAAAGAACCTGCCTCAAACAAACAGAAATAATAATAAATAAATTGAAAGGCATTTGTTTTTGTTAGCTAGGTAGAGAATACCAGAATGGGCACAGAGTACTTGTCAGGGGTTCATGCTTAGCTTCTTTTGCATGGTTGAAAACTAACCTGTGGGCCTGCTTGCCATGAGCTGGACCAGAGTGTCCCCTCACTGTGCACCCGAGCTGCAGAGGTCAGAGGTAACACTCTCTGTGTTTTGAGGGTAACTAGCGTTAAGTGAAGATTCCTTCTGGGTTAGGGTTTGACATAAAGATGGTTAAACAAGTCTGCACCAGCTTACACATGTCCAAGTCAGATGTCTGGGCCAGGCTCTGTCAGATGCTGAGCTGGCGCCTGTCCCGACCTGCTTTTGCAGTCATGTGGGTGGTAAAAATACCCGAGGTCACGCTGCTGCCAGCATTCGAGACTGAAGAGTTGAGAGCTGGCTTCCGAGAACTGTGGGAACAGGAGATGGTTTTGAAATAGCCGCCCGCCCCAGAGGTCTCGCCATGAAGACCTTCCTCCATTGGCCTGAGGCCGCACTACGGCCTGTCTGTTTGAACCATTGTGTGTGGTGCTAGGATCACACCCAACTGCCATGCTACAGACACCGTATGGCACTGCCCCTCAGTCCTGAAATCCTCTGTTCTGTTGTCCTCTTGCTGATTTTTACGGCAGGGCAACCCAGGTTGTCTGAAAACCCCTGACAGTTCTCCTGCCTCAGTGCCCTCAGTGCTAGCATTGCAGGCGTGAGTCACTGTGCCTGGTTTCTCAAATTTCTTTGAGGGCGTTTCCTCCAAGAAACTAATTTCCAGTTTTTAAACTGGTAAATGTGGGGCGTTTCTATGGTTTCATTTGTTTGGTTTTTCTTGCTTGTTTGAGACAAGATCTCACCATGTAACCCTGTCTGGCCTGAACAACAGTGTAGACCAGACCGGCCTCAAACTCACAGAGATCTGCCTGCATCTGCCTGCCAGGGGCTGGGATTAATGGCATGAGCCATATGCCTGCCATATCTCTGCTCTGAACTGTAGAATCGATGGTGGGCTCACTCCGGATTTCTATCAAGTATATAATACCGGGTTAGCTTAAAAGTGAAGGAGAAATCAGAAGCTGCTGTTAGCTTTGCCAGTTGAAGGTTAATTAAAGAGAAGATTTGGCTGCTTGGTGACAACATTCTTTGAACTGTAATGCTAAGTTTGTGTGGTTTTTTCCTTTTGGTTTTTTGTTTGGTTGATTTTGGTGTCAGGGTTCTTTGCATAGCCCTGGCTGCCCTAAAACTCACTCTGTAGACCAGGCTAGCCTTGAACTCTGAGATCCATCTGCCTCTGCCTCCGAATGCTGAGATCAAAAATGTGTGTCACCTTGCCCAGTGAGTTGAAAGATCCTGTTACATGATTTCTGTCCTCTTCTGACAGAGCGAGTCATTTATGCTGTGCGGTGCAGAATTTGCTGTGTTTGCAGTAGGAGGTGGCTCAGGCTGAGTGTGCTCCTCCAGTGTGCCTGAGCCCGAGTCCCAGCTCCTGAGTGTGCTCCTCCAGTGTGCCTGAG